TATATATATATATATATATATATATGTATGTATGTATGTATGTATGTATAAGAGCACCGAAAACAAATCAATGATAATATGACAGAACTAACCGACGAAGACGATACGATCAATACCATATGCTTTGGCGCCATTGAAGGCGATGGAACCGATATTATTAGTAGTGGTCACGAGTGCAGATCTTGCTAGATCCTCCTTTCGTATCTTATCACGATCCTTCGCTGAACACACCTTACCAAAACTAAAAATCATATTTTTTAAATCACAATAAAAAACAAGCATTATGAATTATGACAGTACCTCGCAGCAACAATATCACCCGGCAGACCAATCTGATCATAACCAGTTCCGTAAATATCTTTCACTAATTTATCTACATTACGATTATCTCCTCGTGATGCCAGCTCAATTGATTCTTCAAATGTTTCACAACCGCACATTATTGCACACAAGCCTTGAAAGAAACCACCACCAATACTTAAATTTTATTAATTATTATTATTGGTGTCATCATTATTAACATTCAAAACAAAAACTTATACAACAAATAAGTGAGTAAAAAACAGAAATACATATGTATGAATAGAAGGAACCTGCTGCCAGAAATACGCTCAAAATCGTCATGCCCTCTAACGGCCAAAACAGACACACCACTACCAATATTACAAACTATATATGGATACTGTAGACCGTCTTGTTGCTGTCCCTCTTTTTCAGCTTCTGCCAACAGATCCGATGTTGAGCAACGACCACTTGACCATCGCCTGTGTTAAGTATAAATTATGACACCGTTTCAACAACAACGATAAGCAGCGACAGGAAAATGAAAACAGAAAATTCAAAAAACTAATAATACTGAACATACCAAATCACTTTTTTGCACTTATCATCATCCAGTGGATTCTCATAATAATAGCATTCATCTGGGTTTGTGGCCGCCACAAATTCAATTCCTTTTATGAGCGATTCTAATTCGTCAGCTTTATGCAATTGCATATTCAACTGCTGCAAAGACGACCACACAAATCTTAGAGTTCGACAACGAATATGAAGAATGGTTTGTAAAAAAACACTTGAATCAATACAACTTAATGACTGCAATGAGCAATTTTTTCGTTACTGTTAACGATTTCTCTGAAGAAAAAAATCAGCACTTCATTAAAGTTTGTACCGTTTCAGCGAGTTTTGCGTATTTCACAGCTCCCCCACCAGTGCCACAAACCGTACTGCTCATTTGTGCGAAACCTCGACTTTTAACGAGTGCAATAAAATCAACCATTCGATCGGTTGGAAAACGAATGAAATGAATTGTTCCGGTTCGGCCCTTAAAACGTTCATTATTATTGTTAAAATCGAATGAAATATGAATTGGTTAGAATCGCTTTCAGACCTAGCATATAAAATAAAAACAAAAATGGACCAAGCAGTGATAAGTGAATAAACAAAACAAAACAGAAAAAGATTCGCCTATTAAAGCGATCCTTAAGAAAAATTCACATTTATTTCAACGCCACTTAGTTGCAAGTGATCATCTCGAACGCCCGACTGTCCATAAGCCTTATTCGTAATTAAATAACGCTGTATAGTACGTCCACGTAAGAGGTCATCCTCTGTTTCAAGCACTTCATCCTTTAACATAAACATACATACATATACATCCCTTGCATCTTTTCGATCGATCAATGCTTAGTATAATAATAAACATGATGAATCAATGCCATTACATGATCTCGTGGCTCAAAATAGACCAACTTCACCAACGTTCCACCAATGTCAATTCCAAACCATGGCATCGCTGAAATTCCAATCACAAACATTTCAGCCTTATCATTCATATCATTATCACCACCATTCGTTTCACAGGTAAAATGAAAACTGACTTAATAGATGCAAAAAAATCAACTGATTAACACTCTAAACGGTCCCCAAGAGTATATGCTGTCGAAGGAACAACTGCAGTATTTTTATCTGATAAAAGACTCAATTATTCTAACCAATTTGATTGTGGAAGTGAATGAAGAGTGAACTGAAAACAACTAAATGGGTCGGTCTACAATATAATTACGGTATACAAACAAATTAACAAATCATTTCAGTTGTTTATTAAAAATAGCAACAGAAGTAACTAGACAGATGTCAACAGGATCAAATGAATCTTAAGAGGCAATAAATCATTTTTATCGTTCGTTGGAAAAACATTGAAAAATACACCGAAAATTCCACAACAGGTGAAATTTTTTTGAAAGTTGGATCATGCAAATAATTCAGAAAAAAACTAGTTTGAGAACGATAATTACAATTAATAGCAGTAATGACAATATTTAGTGAAAACAATGACAAAAACAACAATGATAATACAGATCACATCAATGCAAACAGCAATCACTGAAAAAGTAATTTAATAAACTTACGTAAATCAGATGTTAAAAACAGAGTAACGTCCTCACTGGCGGTGATTTGCCAACATGCATCTTCGATGTCTTGATTTGATGGATTCATTGTTACACGTGGTTGATTTGAAATAGGCACAATGGTGGGAGATCAATGGAACTAATAACAATAATCGTTATTATTACTATCATTATCATTAGTAATAATTACGTCAGGAATTCGGAGATACAAGGACGCCAATTATAAAGATGATAACGAATCAAAATTTTAAAGAGTTGAAATGACGTGAATAAATAGCATAAATATATGTTAACGATCATCAAAAAACAAATCACCACAGTAAATTACATTCGAACCTGTGATTACTGGCAATCTAATGAATGAATAACGTAAATACTAGGTGTAATAATGATGAAAGTAATCATAATGAATGAATTTATCCTTTATGACAACCAAGATGATGCTAACCTAAATATCAGACCAACCAAGCATAACAATCAAAAGAACAGCAATAGTTGCACTGATCACCATATTTTGATCGCCTTTATATCATTCCATTTTGAATAGCCATACACGCTATGCAACGATATCATCCGATAATCACAATTTAATATCACTGTCGAGTATAACAAAAATCGAATGTTTTTTCCTTCACTAATTCGACGTATCTTGATAAACAAATAACACATGAATATATATATGATAATACACCAAAAGTTATGACAAGGATGATGACAGTTTCGTGAAGCACATGTTGATTATTTGACAAATGTCATTTAGAAACATGATATATAAATAATACAACTATAATAATAATAATAATTAAAAACAATAAAAATAAAGATAATAATAATAAAAATAAAAAATAATAATAATATAATAATACATAATAATGAAACAATTAATAATAATAACAATAATAATAAATAACAATAAATAATAATAATAAAAGTAATAATAATAACAGTAATAATAATGAATGAATAGTCTGCAACTATTACACAATATATGACAGATGAGTACATACATATGAAAATGGCGTGATTTGAATGCACAGTGAGATTGCACACACTATGAGAAATGTGATATGATGACTGCTAAATAGCATTTCCCCACCAAATTATCGTTACACTGTTTGTCACATCATATCACACCACATCGAGTCAACTCATTATCACATCACATGATACGAAATCAACTGAGTTTGCAAACAAACTTGGTTCATGATACGGATATTACCTATTGATATCACCAACAACAATACAAATTAATTAGCATTAATGAGGCCAACTGACGAATAAAATTGGCAATGAAAAACATCAATGAATGCGTGCCATTGAATAGAATGAAAATGAAGCATTATATGGAAACTATTAAAAAGAAGGGGTTTGAACAGGGTCAACTGAAAGGCTCACGTTTGTTTCAAATCAACTTGCTTAAGATTATTCGAATAACCGCTGATCATCGCAATAGATGAATACAGAAAAGAGTAAATGTGAATTTTGTGATAGACGAAGTGAGTAGAAGAAGAGATTCGTGTTTGTTACATGAAATGAAACTGACGAAATGAATTAAGGAAAACATACGAGGCACTGAAAGTGAAAGCATTCGACGACGTCCACCAACTTTTCGATTTTGATTCGTCAATGACGAAGAGGATGCAGATGTTACTGCATTACTGTCATCATTATTATTATTAATATTCTTTTGTGTTTTCGCTGCTTCATCATTCTCTTCTAATGTACCATTGTGCAGTTCAAATTTTACATTTTCACTTTTAACACCGCGTACAAATTCTTCTATCGTTGATGAAGTTGCTGCTGTGGTGCTTGTCGGAGACGAAGACAACGGCATCTCTCGTCTAAAATTTTCGACAACTTTAAATGAAGAAAAATTCCTAAACACCGTCGGTTTTGTTTTATGCGAAAAATGAATCTTAACATCACTTTGGTCAATCTTCAGCTTTGAGCAAAGTTGGCATGTTTCACGACAAAAAATATGCACCTCGTTAGCACAGCTTCATTTCAGTATCGTCCATTCGAAACAGGCTCATGCTTACACTCAAACCTGTGCCTAGGTTTGCTCTCACGCTTACGTTTACAAGCGGCCTTAGACTTCGTACAGGTCTATATGATGCCGTCTGAAAAGATATTTGCAGCGATTCTAGTAATCCTCAACTGCAGCACGATCCCTTACCGGGCAATTAAGAAAACATCCACACTTCACAAATGACCTCGAACTGATTTTTAGTTGCAGATGTTCTGTGTCAGTCAAACAAGCTTTTTAGAAGCCTCAGTGTCGACTATTTCCAATGCGATTAAATGTCGCCACTGGAAAGCAATCATGAAGTGACAACGAAAACGGAAGCGTTCATTGCCTTTCGACTAAAACAAGTCTTGTGTGGCGCAAATATGCAATCATCCATCTATTTATTCCATCCTGACTGGTGAAAAACAAAGATCATTGAATATCACTTAACTGGGAACGATCGATGTTTATTTCAAAACAAGTAATACATTACAGAAATTGTATAAAGCCGTGTTTTCACAAATTCCTAAATGCCAAAATTTTTCAGAATTTGAATCTGGGGGATCGCATCTTAAAAGTTGAATCTCATGATCCCATACAAACACTAGTAGCACCATAAACTTTCTATATAAACTAAAAATTGAGACGAACAATAGACGTTCGACAAAGTGATATGTAGAATACATATACTCTATAATGCTACAATCCAATTGAGAGAATCTTCAGGTAAATATTTTTTCCGAAAGAACTGACGGAATATAATTTCAACTTATCGTGTCAATAACGATTGGAAAATATTTTATGTGACGTAACATATGACGTTATATAATTCATTTTTACAACAATTACAAAACAAAACAAAAAGAGAAATTCCGACTCGCACTTTATGAATATTTGCAAAACCAAAGAACATAAATATTCTCAACAAATCACTTCAACCTTCCACAAAAATATAAGATACCCACAAAGAAAATGGATCACTCCAGATTAATATAATTAGAAAAAAACTGAAAAATTATGATAATCATACAAATAAAAATAATTAATGAACGATAATGATAATGATAACGGCAATCGATTTCAATAAAAACGTTTCGATTAAAATGATAACAATCATTAAAATATTCATAGGAGTGATTTGAATAACACTGTAATTGGGTTGAATAACAAGATATTTATGATGAATTTAATTTTAGTTTTTTGGAAGCCCATGATCGGTTGTTTTCTGAATCAATCAGAAAGATGTTGTGAAAGAATAAAGTTCAAATTACGACTGAATAATGCACGTGGTGATGCAAAGTTAAAATTTTGACAGAAATAGCTGCGAACATTTTTCTTTTCATGTTATCATCACTGCCATCAAATTATCAAGAATAATATAATAAAATTTAACTGATTCCAGATAGAAGTGATGCAACAAATACGATTTTGATCAAGAGGACGATAATGATTAAAACAAAAATGAAATTAATCATAATGACAATGATAATGAGAAAACATTCAGTTGCAATAACAAATGAGTGTACTTTAATTCGCTCGTTCAACACAGCAGGTCATCAATGAGCTCTCGAAAATTAAAACAGCATCAACAAAAGTTGAAACAGAACATTTAGGAAGGGAAAGGTTGATGAGAAAGCGACGAAGTCAGTATGGCTAATATTCTTTCAGATAATGATTCAGCCTCATGAATTTGTTTTCTAAAATGGATTGATACTAGCATACAATAAGATATTATTATTATTATTAGAAATCAATAATAAGAAATCCCATTTTCACACGATCCAATTCAGTTCTCGTCAACGTTATCTCCACCCCTTCATCCATATCCTTCACTGATAGCTGTTGACTGTGACTGACCATCCTAAGCAGGCAGCTCAAGATTACGGCGTTGTCGGATCACTGCAAGAAACGTTCGCAAGTTTGACGTTATGAAGCAAAAGGTATGAATAAAATAAAATAAACAAACCTCTTGTAACATACAAATAAAAGAAGTCTGCATACAGAACAGTCTGTAGAACACCGGCAACCACCGCGATTGGATCAAAGAACGTTTCCGTGTAGTAACGATATATCCAATTCAGGATATAAAGTGCTCGATATAAACCTAACGCAAACAAGTAATGCGCTGTGATTGTTTCTGCACTTCCAGTTCGTGATAACATAAATAGTTGTGGCATTATTGCCACCGACTCCAAATAAATTGAGAACGTCCACATTATCTCAAAAAAAGTGATAATAGTAAAAACGATTGCAATAACATTAATAATACAATAGTAATGAAAATAATAACAACAATAATAATAATGATAACGCTGATGATAATAATAAATCAAGCATAACGATACAACAGTGAAAGGCTAATGCAAGGAACTATGGGTGAAGAAAAAGTAAGAAACAAACCTCCATCAGTGTGAAATCATGATTGACAAAAAGTGCGAGAACGGCGGCTGGTACTAATACGAGTTCCACTCGAAATGTATCATGATTGCTGGAAAATAATTTTCATTATTTGCGAATATGAAAACAATAAAACTTCAAAATTTGTTCCATTCCTATCATTATTCGATTCATTACTGTTTTGATCATTCTTAACGAAAACATATTTCATTCATGCTCAATCATTACAAACGATCACCGCTTACCGATCATAAGTAGCTTTGAATTTATGCCACATCAAATAACAAGTTCCATATGACGAGACCAAGAAGAATATCTTAATTAAAGCAATAAACTAACTGGGAAAGATCACGAATCAAAAGAAAAAATTCTTCCAGTAAATATTAAAACAATGTATTACATTGTTTAAACTGCTACATTCGGTAGAACTCGTGTGATTACACTGAGGATGTGACCTCTCCCGAATAACTTGAGGGATTTTGAGAACAAAGACCATTTTTGGACAGGAAAATTGCACACTTAAGTGAACATACAATCCAATTTACAGATAATCAGTTAGATAATTGAATTAACACAAACAATGAAATAACCTTCATCACTGAATTGTATAGTGATACGTAATTTGTGAAGAGATCCAAATATCGTGACGTAAAGACGAGTGCGAAGAGAAGTTGAGAACGACCCGAAATACCTGAAAAACCACATGAATTAATGAAAGTTGAATAATAATCACAGTGAACGAATAACGTCCATAATATATCACGATTATTAAGCCAGAAACACAATAAAGCAAAAACAAACCTGCGCATGATCTGGTTGTCCACATTTTTGTGAAAAGTATGAAAATAGCAATGAGATGCGACAAGTCTGCAGCCAGTCGAAAGATATTCATTTTGTTGCACCGACAGTTGATGGATATATGACAAAATTAATTTATATACTGGATCGATCGATTATACGCTGGCTACTTACCCTTCAATTGCGTTAAAGCATGCCAAGAGCAATAATAATAATAATAAACATAATAATAATCATTAGTAATAAAGACAGTAATAATATATGCCGGTACTTTTGCTCATAACGGGCGCCACCGATGCTCGTGTGCTCATACACTTCACACATAAGTCGAAGCCTATGCGTTAGCCTTATCACTGGGCTAAGCGTAAGACTAGACTTAAGCATACCCCTGAATTGACTTCGAATTGCATATCTACACTTGGGACAAAACGATAATCTAAGCATAAACGAGCAGTGGCGCCCGTTGTCAGCAAAAGTGCTTTTGTTACCATCACTGTTGCTCTGCATTGGTGGTATAAAGTCATAAACGTTTTACATTGTAATCAACACCATAAATTTTAATAATAACGATGTTGACTGCAGTCAATCAATCAACGAAACAATGCAGCGGAAATTGATCATCACTCAATTAAGCTCGAGCATTTACATCTCGTCAAAGCTAAGTGTTTAAGTATGAATGAATTCAAAAGTGATTAACTGAAAAAAGCATCAAAAATCGGCAGTAGTGGTATTGGATGCTATTGTGCTACGAAACTGTTGCTATCTTCTAATATTTCATTCGAGAAAAGCATAGTTATGCTTGAGTGAAAATGATGGTTGAAGGCAAAAATGAGGGATAAATAAATGGATGTCATGCAAAACGAAGCATCATCACCGAATTTTTAGAGAACATGATTAATTGAAAGTGGATGGAGAGGAATGACGAAGTGTGGGATAATTCTATGAGTGTGGGAAAAGTTTGCGAAAACGTCAGAGCGACAGACAAATGGAGTAAGCACGTTTCTAACCGTAGTGACCTCGAAATGATTATGGCGAGAAAATGTGAACTGATAGAATAGTACGATGAAAATTTCAATAGGATAAGTAAAGATGTGCATTGTACACAAAGTGGAAAGCTTTAACAGAATTGATTTTCAGTTTGGATTTTTGCTGAACATTTTTTCAGAAGTTATCTCTGCAAAATGTCTAAATTCTTCAAAAATGGTTTTTAAAACATTCACATTCCGAAGAAATAAAGGGAGAGATGAGCGGAAGATGAGGTCAGTTATGGGGCATCGTTCACTTTTCACCTTGCTTTATTCATTTTTCTTAATGGAAGAAAACTTTCACTGCCACTCCAGGTAAGGAAAAAGAGTTCTGTCAAAGTTAAATTGATAGACTGGCTTGCGAGAGGCTGACAAAAAGAAATAAGCATATTTCAAAGGGTATGTTACAAACGTGAGAGATAGTTGACAGCTTGAACTGATGAAACCAATATCTATAGGATGAAATGTTTTCTCCGAAGCTGTTTCTGTTCTTTGATAAGATGAGATAACTAATGGACTGTCATACTTCAGTCATCTGAAATGTTGATACTAAGTTTCGTTTGCGATTCATATTTTCCATTGATTTTGGTGAAGTCAGCAATTCACTAACACAGGAAGGCATAAAGTTATCTTGGCATCGAATATGTAAGGTTAAAAAGAAGGATAATTAGTTCGGTTTGATGAATCGGGTCACCATAACTAACGGGGATTATTGAATAAATGATGCTGCCTACTCAATGCTCACGACACGAACAGCAACTTTTAATTTGCTCATGCTCACTACTTACGAGTACGGTTCGCTCACTGCTCACAACAAAAGTGTATCTGCGATTGTGCGCTCACTGTTTGAGCTCACAACTCACGAGTCCTCTGTCACTGTCAATGGACGCTTTTGAAAGGGAACGGAGAACCCAGCAATCGTTTGCACCTGTAAATTTTGGATGAGAATAAGTGCACGTGTCATGATCATATTCATTTTTCATTAAATAAGTGTATCCGTAAAATGGTACAATGACCAGGGATGGAATGATACCCACAAATGATCCTTTATTTAACAAATAAGAAAGACGCATAGCGAACGGTGGATGATGCCTTTGACTCGTTCTCCGGATAATCTTCCCACCCACTATCCCCTCGCTAATCCCATCTTTCCTGTTGTAAATGAGGAAGACGAAAGTTAATTCACTAATTGCGATTGAGCTTAAATACTTTGAAGATATGACTTCTGAGTTGGAGAGCATCCGAACAACATGGATTTCTGATCGAGCTTTTCGTTCTCTACGAAACTTATATCTCCGTTAAGATTTGATTTCTGTAATAGCGAAATTTCACATTACCGCCATCAGCATCAGAACTGTGACAGATGACTTACGAAAAAATGTCAGCAAATGATTCACACTGCCTTATAGCTCTTCAATGTCTATAAAGTTTTCGTTGGCGTTTCTGACATTTTCGGTGGAGTTGTTCTTTTTAAAATCGAGAACAACTTCGAACCGGTCGATATTCATTACTGCAATTGTGCAACTTCCTCTGACTCTCTAACTTTTTTTTGCAAACATTCCTAATGCCATCCTGTGAAACGCGACAACCGTAATTGTACACGTCATATCAAACAAGCATTGTGTATGTGTATGAGTACATCAATAATGGTTTATGTAATTTGAGAAGGGGTGAAAATACACAATTAGGCGAAATACTGACATGAGGATGATGTGACATGTATGACCATGAGACTGTGGTAGGGACTAGTGCGAGGCAGAGGGATGCATCAGATTAATCTTTTTAGAAAATTCGTCTGCGGCCCCACCCCAGTCGAGGAATTCGACTCCAGCTCCGGTTCCGCAACTTACCGTATTGGTCACAGATTCGGCCAAAAAACTTATCGTCCTGGTTATAACTTTGGCTGCTGTCTGTTGCCACAATATTTTCTGGTCGAATCAAAAAATTTTTTTGCTCAGGAGTTTGACCACTACCTACAATACGTGGAACGTTTTTAACATGAAAACTATATCAGTTGTGATTTATGAGGGTTACTTTTCTTGCCTGCAATATGCAGGAGTGACAGCGGGGAATTTTCTGAGAACTGGACTCCCACGGATATTTTCCTGCGTAGGGGATTGATCCGAAATCCGAAAATTAATAAGGACTAACCCCATCTCCACGGGAACGAGGATGATGAGGTGAGCAAAAGTGGATTCTCTTGGTCTCCGTGATCAACAGTTTTGAGGTAGGGTGTACATTCGAGGTTATGCGATTCGTCAATTCATTTATTGTAAGCTCTTCTTCAACTTTTAGTTAGAGAGTGTAAAAACGAATAAACAGATAAGCATCAATAATCTTTTCTGTTTTTTGTGACGCTAGAAACATTTTCTGCAGCATTTTGTGGTGTTCAAAAAGAAACGATAAATATTAGCAATGTTACTATCAAACAGTGCTCATCGGACAGATCCGTTCTGTTGCTACAATATCTTCACAAAATCGCTTGCCCAACCCAAAGAGCATTATTCAGCGTTCGGGTGGCGGAGGCAAATCTGCTCCAGGGATATTACTGCTTTGGGATATTAAAATAGGCAATATTGAGAATTGCCGTTCGTAACGATCGTACTTCGAGAATTTGCTTGAGAAGTTAGTTCACAAGAGGACGCTGAGTGTAACCCGACGCTGATGAGTAATTGATCTTTAATTCGGAATTACTGATAAGATGAAGCTAGATTGATAAGGCGATGAATCGAATTGCTATTGCTATATCTCTTCATTCAGCGTTGTTTTTCGAATCGCAAGTTTAGTGTTCTTAAGTTATGCATTACAAACTCTTCGATTATGTATTACAGCCAATTGTTTAAGTGAAAGTTACATGCAAAGCGTAGCTCTCGATTGAGACTGTAAGTGGTATGGATGAAACGATATGCACAATTATAAGAGGTAGCTTTTTTCATTAACGTTTTAATTGTCGTTGATTTTAATGAACTGAACACATCACATATGAAGCGGCTTCAATGAGACAATAAAAATAAATTATTATTTTCGCCATCAATTGAAACAGTTAGAAGATGATAGTGATGATGATTATGGAGATATTTTTTTCATGAGAATGCTCGTTAATGAATTGTGTGGTACATCGATTTTGGAACAATTATAATAGTACAAGTAATGAACAATGTTTTTCTGAAAGGTATACATCAAGCAGAGACAGAAGTAATATGCCGTGAAGGAAGACGGTGACCACCGAGGTGATAAACTCCATGTTTGTCAAGCCAAACACTTGACCAAGGGTACCTGCATCTAAACGTGACATAGTAAACTAATAGGATGCACAAAATCGTCTACGTGAATGAGTTACAGCATATATACATTGGTACGAAATCACTGTGAACGAAATGAGAACTAACGGCTTCAGCACCACATGACCGTTGTGGACAAAAATTGAATTATTCATTGACTTACTGATAATCAAAATAACAAAGTTGCACAGTTAAGCTGTCTTCATTAGGAGTTTATCATTCGTCTTGAACATCGCTGGTTTCTTCATTTCACAAAGTTCTATCATTCTTGTCACGCTCGAATCTAACTCATCTTCTGAGCACGGATATTGCTCGGCAACTTATAAAGATACATATGAATAAACCGAAATTAACTATGAATGAGGTGCAAATGAAAATATTATATGCATAATTACTATCCGTTTGACGTGACAGTGAGATGCTGATTCATTGCACGAAGCCTTTTGCATTTCATTTGTTTCACTTAATCAACTTCAAGTTTATATTTCCCTGCATTTTCACTTACGCCACTGAACGACATACCAATGGCGCATGAAAAAATGTAATTATTGCTGTAAATTAATTTATTAAAATATGAAAAACAAAATGAGCGATGTTTTCAATACTACGTCTGTCTATAATGAATGCCTACATAATGACGATACAAAATCAATGAATTTAGTGCAAAAGACATTCCATTTTAAATAAATGTGTTAATTAATCATATCGATAAATGTATTGATTGATAAATATATCAACTAATTAATCAACTAATCATTGTGGAGCACGATCAACCGGGGTCATTTTTC